ATTCAGGGGCAACCGCCATTACCATTTCTAATTGTCACATCACCGATCACAACGACGTGATGTTGTTCGGAGCAAGCGACAGCTACACGCCGGACGAGAAGATGCAGGTCACCGTAGCGTTCAACCGTTTCGGAAAAAATCTTGTACAGAGAATGCCGAGAGCACGATTTGGCTTCGTCCATCGTCAACAATGACTACACTTTCTGGAACTGTACGCCATCGGCGGCAGCAGCCACCCTACGATCATCTCACAGGGAAACCGGTTCAGAGCTCCACGGAACATCGCGGCCAGAGGTGTTGAAGAGGGAGTTCACGGCACCAGAAGTGTGGAAGTGCTGGGACTGGAGATCGGACGACGACGTGTTGTTGAACGGCGCCATCTTTATCCAATCGGGGAGTCCAGATGCCATCAAGAAGTTCGCGCCTGAGAAAACGATTAAATTTAAGTCGGGCCTTAAAGTGCCTCTCATCGTTCATTACTCCGGTACACTTACCTGCCGCCCTGGCAAGCCGTGCTAGTCATCGGCGTTTGGGGGTTTCGTTTTTTTTTCCTTCATCACTACATGACATGAGCAGTGCATCCAAGCAGTGCACCATGCATGCATGCATGGTATCCAGGAAATGTATTTTCTTGCCGTCGTCCCTATAGGACATGAATTATTCAAAATATTTTTTTTGATTAAGCTAAAGTTATTATAGGACAGAATCGATTATTTAATAATGAATGTTTGATCATTTTTACCGTCGTCATTCAAAAAATAATTAAAAATATAATTAAATTTGAATGATGAAAAACAAAGATTTATGAGATTTAATTCAAAAATTTGTCGTAAAATTTGGTTAAAAAACTAAATTTAGTTTTTGTAATAATTTAAAAAAAATAAAATCAGATTTAAAATTTGCTTAAATATTTTTTATTTTTTCTAAATTATAAAATAAGATAGGAATGCAATTATATTAAAAAATAAATTGAGTTTTATAAATTTCTAAATTTTTATATGATTAATTTTAATAAAATAATTATTAAATTCATGTTATATTCACATAGATTATTCTAATCAAATTTGAAGTAAATTTAAAATATTTATTATTTATTTTAGATAAAATCTTGTTAATTATTAAATGTATAATTAATAAATATTACTTTAGATCCACATATATAAATGCTGAATTGATTTAAAATTATATATATATATATATAAGTATATTAATTTTGATAAATTGAACTGTTTAAGTTAAATATTAATAAAAATATATATACAAAATTACTAAACAAATTACGAAAATAATATATATAGAAGCTGTAATTTACATTCGACTTAAGGATTAAGATATATTTTCTAGTAAAAATTGATATTTCTAATTCAGAGCAAAAATTAGACCCGCCAAAATCCGGATCCAACTCTGGATACTAAAATGCCCAGGTCGACCCGTTTTCAGAATCCCAAAGAAATATTCTGGAACTAAAATCCCATCAAAATTCTCCTCTTCATACCCGATGGGCTACGATGATCCGAGAAAATCACTCGAGAAATCATCAAATTCGGGGATATCGACCCATATAGCCGTAATCTTGACCGGGTCAAAGATCCAGAAAGGTCTCCTCCATAGGCAACTGGGTGTCGAACTGTGTTGTCCCGTCCGAAACCGACGGCGAAGAGGATCCGTTTGAGTGTTGGATTCCTCCGATATCGAAGGTCTGATTTAGTGAACGGGCGGCGGCTTGGATCTGGGCCCAGGTCAAAGACCTGCCTCCGACTATATCGGGTGGGTTATCGGGGAAATTGAATTTGGCAGAATGGCCTCGTAAACAAAAAAGAGCGGCGTCGAAAGCGCGGGCTGCTTTCTCGGCTGATTTGTAAGATCCAACCAAATCCTTTCCCTGCTGTGGCAGTCTGATTTCCGATACCCATTTCCCCATTTCCGCTTGCGAACGCCCTTGAACTTCGATTCGGTTCTCTCGGTGGCAGGCTCTTCGCTTCCGTGTTTCACCATTGTTTCTGTCCCCCCCTCCTTGAATCAAAGTACCAAGCGGCGAGGTTTTTTTTTGTTTTTTTATTCCTGGCTGCAGATTGTTGTTTGGAGACTGAGAAAACAGGGAGAATTTGCGGCTTATTTAGAGCTACAATGGGGAAGCCAAGGTTTCTCACTGGGAGTGAGCAGTCAAAGACAAAGAGACGCGTTTGACATAGCGTTTGGCATCCGAAAAGCGTTTAACGATGCCGACGTGGCGCATTGTCGAAGGCCCTTTTTGGCGTCGCTACGCGTTCGGAGGTTGTCCCACACGTACCTTTATTTTGCTTTTATTAATTATGTTAATATATAACGAAAGAGAGAATAGTTGTGAATATAATTGTCTGTCTATCTCAGTTGACAGAGTATAAGGCTTTTAATTTTGTAATTGTGAGATCGAGTCTAATTGAGGAGAATTCATAATGGAGGTCTTCCACGGAAGTTGCTCTTAACTTGACGTTGGGGGCAGTTTACTACCCTATCTCTCCCTTACCTCATTACATATGAGAATAGGATAAGTTAATTTTTTTAGAATAGTTGTGAATGTGATGATTTTGCGTCAATCTAATATAAGGTTAAAAAAATACGTTATCAGAAATATTAATATTTTTTAATATTTTTAAAAGAGTGTTAATTAAAATATTGTTTTTTTACCAGAAATGTTAATTTCACTACCTAAAATCAATATTTTCGATATTAACATTCTAAGTAAAAAAATAACATTTTCAATAGCACCCGATATTAATATTTTCGGTAAAAAAATATCCTAGGTAGTGTTATACCGAAAATAAAAAATATATATAAATATTTTCAGTAATACCTTTTTTAACCTTATATTAAACTGTCTTTTTTTTAACATCTCCAAATACCAAATAATAGTATTTCGACTTATAATTAATCTCTCATCAATAATTTCCATTAAAAAATCACTATACACGCTAAACACATGACAGGTCAGTTTTTATGCATTTGAAAGGGAAATGTCATAAACAGAGTTCTGTAGGGGGAAAAAAAAAAAATACATTAAAATTATTTTAGGGTAAATTATGCGTTAGTTTAGACTTTTAATTTTGATCCGATTTAGTACTTGAACTTTCAATTTCTTTAAAACCATATCTAACGTTTAGTTTTTGTTTCGTTTTTAATACCTCGTCGTTAAAAGCTTAACGGTAATTTACACGTGGCATTTTTATGGGTAAAATACATCATTCAACTATCTTCTCACTCATATTTTGATCACTAAAGTTTAAATCTTTTTAATTTAATTACTTAATTTTCAAATTACTCTTAATTTAATCACGTTAACTTTTAAATTTATTTATTTTTAATTAATATCGATAAAATATAATAAAAAAGTTGTCACAAAATTTATAATAATAAATTAAAAGTTATTAAAATATGAGTAATTTAAAGTTGAGTGGTTAAATTAAAAAATTTTAAGCACTAGTACCAAAATAAGAGTAAGAAAATAGTTGAGCGATGAATGATGCAATTTATCCGTAAAAATAAAGTGCCACTAAAATTTTAATAGCGAGATACTAAAATAAACAAAAACTAAATTTTAGGCATAATTTTAAAAAAAATAAAATATAGTTTAAGTACACACATAATTTACCCATAATTTTATTATCCAACGTGAAGAGATAAAGCATCGTCATCCAAAATAGACGATGAACCAAGGTGTCCAAAGCCCCCATTAGGACCATTACATACCATCCGACACGCGCTTATGCTTTGCGTCATGCATGATCTCTTAATCCCTCTACCTTGGCTTTGCTTCCGGTCGCACTACCCTGTCAATGACCAATAAAACAAGTCCAGCTCCATATTTATCATATTTGAGTCATCTGTTTTGCCCTTCCACTTATCCAACCGTACTGTACTTCATCGTCGATCGTAGCCGGAAACAGGTAGAAGGAAGCATCGGCTGCAACGTGCAGCACCGACCGAAATTCATTCTACTTGTACAAGACATAGGATGTCTTACATCATAGGCATTTACAGGAGATGAGAAGAATATCAGATCAGCTCTAGCAATACAATGGTTGTACATCAATGGTCCCTTATGGCACCATACAAAGGCCAAGTCAGAGAGTTGCTGTTAAAAGTTAATTAAAACATCATCTTCCTGCCAACAGATGAATATATGTTATCTGAATTTCAAAACCTTTTTATCTGTTAAATGAAGCAGCCGAGGTATCGTCGTATGGTCCCCTCCACGCGTTTCCGCTGTCGGTCCCACTGCAAGCTTGATTGGGAACTGCCACATTCCCGAGATCACCATCCAAGCTCATCTGCTGTACTTCAGCAGATGACAGTATCTTTATGCTCTGAACACAACTGACAAATTCTCTGCAAAGGAATTAGAAATTCAGATGAGGATGAATCAATACCGAATGTAAATGTTAAAAGGAGTTTGAATTGGGGTTCTTCACTTACTCCCACGGATCATCACCGACAAGTAATATGTCATTTTCATGATCCACATAAACTAATTTCCAGTCGGAACTTTGTGGATCTTCCAGCTGCCCCTCGATGCCAAACATGTGTGCCAAATCATGTCTGAGTTCATCATACCCTTTGTAGCGGGTCACGTCAATTGATCTTCCTACGGAGCCACGCTTTTGCACCTTCATTTATTTCAAACCAGCACCATACATTAGTGTTTTCAGCGAAAGGCACACAAACAATCGACCATGTTGTAATGAGGGAAGGATTTAATATATGTAACAAAGACGGTGGATTTTTGGTAGATTTAGACGACTAAGGAACTTGTAATTGCGACAGGAAATCTAGATATCAGATTTGTATCTAGAACAAATGAGGTAACATGCATAACCATAATCAGTGGGGTTACGGATACATACCTTTGTATATGTTCGCACTCGTTGAGTTTGGTTGGCCCACAATCCGCCATTTAGGACTCCTGTGTCATTGATGGCAACATCATTAGAACACCCAGTCTTGAAACGTATGTTGGGCACACCAAACGACTGGGAGCTTATTGCAGGAGTAGAAAACTCTGCATCAATATCTCTTGGGTTGCCACCATAGCTGGAAAGCAGATTTTGAAGATCCTTTTGAGAGTCATCCCCTCGATAACAAAGTGTCAGGTGCCAATCCATCAATATTAGCTGTAAATGGAAGATTGTTCCGATGATGTGATTGAACGTCACCTTCCAGAAAGGTAGGAAGGGTGAAATTATGATGGGTTCTTCCTTCCTCCAGGCAGTATGATGTTCCGCAAGCGGATGCTTCTAATTGATCCGTCACGGTACTTTTGTACTTCGACAATTCTGGTCCTCTAGAGGTGGGTAGCTCATGTTTGATTCTTATATCAGGCTTGCTCTGTAGCTCTTGAACGAGGGTACTTGCAGGATCAGCAGGTGGATCCGTCACCAACATGGACGGTACTTGCTGGTTTTTGTTTAGGAAGTTCAATGGGGAAACCTGACAATTGTTGGTAGAAGGAGAGGTCAAACATGAAGGCGCATCTCCATCAGTAAGACCAGAATGGGTTCTCATAGCAGTAAGAGGCTTGTTATGAACTTGAGGTTGGTTCACCGAAAGTTGTTGAGGCTGGACAAGCATTGATGCTGAGAAGCCATTGCTTCCGAGAGGTTGTGATTGGTTCTGTAAAAGAGGCAATTGCTGCAACGGTTGGTTTTGTTGATGGGTCGGCTGTTGCTGCAACAGTGATCCAGCAGGGGAGAGTAACTGTTGAGACGACTGCTGCTGTTTCTGTTGCTGCAATTTCTGTAACAGCTGTAATTGAAGCTGTTGCTCCGAGAAGCCCTGCTGAGGCAACTGCATCATCTGTGGCTGCTGCTGTGTACTCTGAGACAAGTTCTGTTGCAACAATTGTAGTGGCGCCTGCTGCAACTGTTGTTGTTGTTGTCTCTGTATGAGGTTAGCTTGCTGTTCCATCTGTTGCTGAATCTGTGTATCTTGTGGTAATGACGTCAAAGGATATGAAGTTTTATTGGCAGAGAGGATGGTTTGAGCAGACTGGCTATTGCTTGTCAGCAATTGTTGCTGCTGAAGCTGCGAGTAAACAGCCGGCTGATGCAAATTTTGATTTGGGATCTGGGTAGAGGCAACGATTCCATTACTTACTTGAGACGGAAGGAATGCCTGCTGTTGCAGCTGCTGCGGTGGTAGCGTGTGCTGTCTTTTTTGTTGCTGCAGTGGCTGTGGCTGCTGCTGCGGCTGAGTTTGAGTCTGAGACGGAGGCTGAGGCTGCTGTTGGTTTAGAAGATGTGGCTGAGGCTGAAACTCCTGCTGCTGTTGTTGTTGTTGATATCGCTGCAATTGCTGCAGCGTTTGCTGCTGCTGTTGATTTAAAGGAGTCTGCAATAACTGTTGAAGTTGCTGCTGTTGGGCCCATGTCATAGGTGTCTGAGGCAACAGGTTGACTTGGTTCGTATTTGCTTTGTTAAATTGCATATTCGACGCAGGTAACCCAGGAGATTGGAAATTCAATAATTTGGCAGGATCATCGGTAAGGCTACTATGGAGCGGATTTGAAGAAACCATCGATGGAAACAATGCCGATTGAGCAGCTGGGAACTGATTATTCTGTTGCATGCTCATCCACTGAACTAAACTCAAACCGGGGAAGATGGAACTAGGGGCATCTTTCATGCCAAATTCATCTCCAAGCCAGGGCATAGCTCTCTTGAAGGCGTTCTCAATATCAGACTCGTCATCTGCAAAATCTCTTAAGAGATCACAACTAAGTTCTCGAATTTTCCTTTGATTTGTCAATGTTTAAAGTAAGATATGTACGGCAAATATGATTTACCAGTCACCCCGGGTTGCTTGGGGAACCGGGGCCTGAAAAACGGAGGTGGACAAATGTAGAAAGGAGTTATGACAGGCTCAATGTCCCAAATTGAAACTCGGCTGGGCCGCTCACCAGCTGTAGATTCATCCCACCCAACCTGTTGAGAATGAAAAATTAAGTGGTATTTTCTCCTTGTGCAACAACACCATGACAGAATCAGTTTAAACAGTTGCACGATCAAATAACAAGACCGAAAGGACATATGCCGAGACATTCCTCACCATGATAGAGCAATGTATTATGAATGACAAAACCATGATGTAACTTAATATTTGCGTGATAATAACACGCTTTCCATAAAGATAATCTTCTGAAATTAGAAAGAAAAAAGAAAAACAAAGGCTAATATTGGCATTCAGGACATCGGTAAAAATACCTGAAGATTACGCCACTGTGAGTTTTTCCATCTCACGGGATCCAAGTCACTGATACCAGTTATAGTGCCCATGTACCTGCGCACCCCGGACTCCTCTGTTTCAAACATCATTCTAAACCTCATGCCAAGGGAAACTTGGGTATACATAGCTTTGTTATACTTCGCTAAGGGTACCACAAACTCAGAAGGGCTTGCCCTGTCGATATTAATAAAATCCTTTTAGACCTTCAATGAATATCCTTTTTTGATGATCAGAAAATAAACATGAATCTATATACGACCAAATGTACTATATCAATACCTTGGATTGTAGAATATAGTAAACGGGCTATTATTTGCCGCAGCGTGAGCCGCAGCAGCAAGGATCCCAATATGCATGCTATCACTAGAAATTACAGACGACGAGAGACCTGGCTGTTGTCTATTTGCAGGCCTTGTACCCAAGAGAAGTTGAGACTTCTCATCTCTACATTTAAGCAAGGAATTTCGGTTAAGCAGAGCACAATGGACAATAATCTATGGAAATTCTATGGAATACATACACACAATATAAGTGTTAGTGCATGTGTGTGAGTTTGTGGGTATATATATATATATATATCATACCTTATGAAAAGAACGGAATCACCGGCAAAAAGTTTTTTCGTGCTAACAAAGACACTCCAACCAGTAGTCAGAAGGTGCCGCTTTGGTTGACCTGCAAAGAAGCCATTAATCGTTCAGATACGCTATTAATGCCTATAACATTAAATAAGTAAGCTACCATAATATGCAGAACGAAATGCGCTGACTTATTAGTATCACTCAAAAGATTACTAATGACATCTTGAAGAGAAAGTTACCTCGATAAATATGTCTAAATGTCCATGTATTGTCATGTAAATCTTTAGCTACTAGCTCCTGTGCAGGTGGTTGCATCGAGAAATCCTATCAAATATCGTCATTCAGATTTTAGGAAAAATGAGCACAAATGCTTCCATCAGACCTCTCAAATCTTAATAATAGAAAGCTAAAATTGAAAGTTTCTAAGCACCAGAGGAGGGAAGATCTTCTCAGCTGCTCGTCGAGGCACGGAAAATCCACCATGAGTGCTAGTGTCACTGGCTGTAAGAGTCTTGCAAAAGAACTCAGCGGGTTGTCTGCTCTGCTTGAGGGCCATGTCAGATGCCAGTAACGCTTCTTTGTCATACTGTTGAAAAATAATTCAAAGATTCATACCATATTTCATTGAAGGGGAAATAGAAGGAAGAGATGCAGTCCTGCAATGTCCATGAATTGAATAGCTGACCTACTTTGTTCACAGGTTGAAGCGTCATCTGGGCATACACCTCATCCGTTTCTGGATCAGCCTGATTCAAAGTTTAAATAACCGAACCAATTAGTAAATCCATATGATAATACAAATTACCTTACATACATCATTTTGACCATTACAAAGTTATCGTCATGCATATACCATAAAAGATCCTATTCATATTGCAATATGACTCGGCACCCAACAATAACTCCCTAGAAGTAGTCAATACAACCACAACTAACCAGATAGCACATGGATGCGCCAAGTACGTATGCCAACAAACGACTTGGCAATTAAACAGAAAGATTGTCTAAAATATGAAAGAGATAGTGCGGATCCAAAGTTGCTGATACATGCACAAAGTTCATTTAGGAAAACACTTTTCCCCTTCAATGGCTGAATATATAAGAAAACTGGGGTAACGGTGCGGTGCTTTTGCTTACATGCAATGTTACATTATGTAGCAAGCAAATCAACTTGGAAGGAAGGTTAGGATAGCTTGGAGTGAAATCGGTCTCCTTTTGCATTGATGCTGCAACCTGGGAAAAAAAACATATCATAATTAGAGAAAGTTCCATAAAACACCAGATTCGAGGAAAAAAAAGTTTACTCAATATGAATGAATGAGGAAAACAACTCACTTGCTCGCTGTGACCTTGAGGAAAGTAAACGACCAAACTTCCAACTGGAGGCAAAGAAACAAGTGGTCCAGCACAAGCATGCCATAACTCTGAATTGATGCCCTTCCTTTCTGCTGCTTTCAACAAACCAACCAGAATATTAATCGAACATCCCACAAAACCGAACACAGAGGGAGTTCTAAAATTATTACAAAGCATCAACTTGCAAGCAGTTCTCAATATCCATATTCTCCCAAAATTTGAACCATATACAAGGCAGCAATTAATTTTAAGACCTCAAAGCAAAAATAAAAATCACAATTAAAAATTACAATGAATATTCTTATATAACTCTTTATATTTAAACATGACAAATATATATATATATATATATATATATATTGTTTCATGCTTTCTTTCTTTTTGCACCTTCAAATTGCAAATGATGATTGATCCCAAACCTTCTCCCCATTAAAATGAGGAAAGTTTACCCTTTGGTTACTATATCCTTTACTCCTAGTTTTGTTCTTTGCTTGTTTCCATCTTTATGAAAATGGGGTTTTATAGGATTTCACAAAAAACATGTGACATCTTACAAGACAAATGTAGAGCATTAAAACAAAACCAAAACCAAGACAGCTTTAGAAGGATCTGGTTAACAGAGGAAAGCGACCAAATATTTAAGGAAAACCCAAAGACTATTTTGACAACCAAAAGAATAAAACTGAGTTAAAGGGAGACAAAATGAACGAGATAAGAGAAATCAGACCTTCTGCAGAACTTGCCATGAATCCATTTGGTGGAACCTTCATGCTTAAAATCTTGGATCAAATAAAAAAAAGAGAGAAACTTTCTTAAGGAATCCAACTACTTGTTTTGCTCCAGCATAACACTGAAGAAATCAACTTTCTTGACAACTCTTCCAGCTATTCAAAGTATCAAACCACAACGCTTCAAAAAAAATCCCATTTTACAGCAGCGACCCTTTGTAGGAAAACTATTACAGACGCGCCACAGCAGCTCCAATTAACATTAAAATCCCAGAAAAACTGAAACCCTAACTTAGGAAGCAAACCAAAAGCCAAAGCTTGTATGCTTTCTCTTTGGTTAGCTTCGTGAAAAGCTTTAATTGTCAGCTATTCCAAGCATTTGGTATATTCCAAATGATTAAACCATATTCCACGGTTTAATCGGTTAAGAAGAACTAACTGCATGGAACATTAACAACCGGTTTCTAAAACTGCTCCTCGGCTCAGTCGAAGCTCATCGTTTTGAGTTCTAGAATCCGACAATCAGAAACATTTTCGAAAGAGAAAAAAACAAAAAATAAAATAAAGGAACTTTATAGGATCAAGGAGAAGGGGAACACGCTAGTCGCCGGGAAATCAGAGAACCGAAAGCAAAAACAAAAGCAGAGCAGAAAAGAAAAGAAACAGCTTTTTTCTTAAAGTTTTCCTTCTCTATATATATATATAATTTGTGAAACATGCCGACATACAATAGGTTGTGGAGGCTGAACTATGAAGCAATCTGGCCTTGGTAAATTCAACAAAGCAAAAGATAAAATGAAAAACTTTTTACTTTTTGAATTAAATTTTTAATCGTTGCGAGTATGAGTTCGCGCGCGTGGCGATAGGCTGTTAATAGGCTGACCGTTTATATTGGTAGCATCCTTTTCGCCGTTTAAGTCTTGGGAAGGTGCGCGCGTGCAGCGTTGTGGGCGTGCGTTATGGCTCTGTCTCTTTAGACTTGGGGTTAAAAAGTAAGGGATAATAAACATTTAGTCCATAAATTTAGTAATATTTTCAATTTTATTCCTTACTTTTTTTATTTATATTAGTTATTTTATTTTAATGACGTAATATTTTAATATTACATCGTATTTATACATTTAATATTTTTTTTAAAAAAACTAGGGTGGATACGACACAGTTTTATTCAAAAACTCAATCATTTGATAATTAGCACTCATACCTCTAACATATATGATATTTCAACTTAGCAGTTCACAGGATAACAATAAATCTCTTAACTACTGAAGTCGTTTGATTTTATATAATATAGATCTAAAAAATTTAAAATAATATAAGCGTAAAATAATCATTTTTATAATATAAAATTATAAATATTTTTAAATTTAATATACAAAATTTTAATCTAAGAATAAAAATTAAAATCACTCAAATATTTTTAAATAACATTTAAAGTAAAATTTAATTTAATTTAATACAAATAACTCAAATACATTTAAATAATATTTAAAATAAAATTGAATCCAATTTAATAAAATTTATAAAACATTTTTTATAAAATATTATTTTTTATAATTGAGAATAATTATAAGACAATATGGTTTAGGATCCACTAACACAATGTAAAACTCTTTAGTTTTACACAAATTTAAGAACGTTGGATGAGTTAAAATAAATGTTTGAGATTGACTCTTTGGTTTTTTTAAAGTGAATATTTTCTCATTTCTTAATGTTAATCTCGGTCATATATTTTCACTCATCCAATAGTCCTTTTAATTTTACATTGTATAGCAGTATTATATCCCTAATAACATATATTTAAAATTTATGCGACATATACTCTATAGATACAATTATTTAAATTTGTTGCATCTAATAGGGTTTTTTAACACTAAAATACTTAATATGTTGATATGAAATGTTATTATCGAAATCAATTATTAGAGTTAGATGAGTGCCATTCAAATAAATAAATAAAAGACGAATTAAAAAGGATAATAGTAAATAAAAAATGAACATATATATTTAATCACATATAGAGAAGAAGATAAAAACACTGCGATGAATAAAATATTACAAGAAAATACGAAAAATACAATAGCTTTAGAAAGGTTTGAGTACGTACATAAATACCATTTTGTTTTTCTATCAATTTGAATTTTCATCGGATGAATCGTATCAAAAAAGCTTAAACTAAAGCTAACAAAAATCAAACTATAATTCCTAACTAATTTTAGCCATTTATATTTTTTAGGGATGGACATGGGTCAGGTTCGGTCGGGTTTCCGACTAACCCGATTTGACTCGAAAATTATATATCATCCACCCGAAACTTGACTTGATCTAAGTTTAAAGCAATTTCTCCCGACCCGAAATTCAACCCGTCTTTTGAGATAAAACCCGGTTCTAAACCTACCCGACTTGATATAATATAAAATCATTAATTTTATTTAATAAATAGAGGCTTAATTTAAAAAATAATAATATAAAAAGGTGTATTCTTGTAAGTATCCGTAAATATATAAGATATTTTTATATTATTTTTCGAGGGGAGTTGTGTCAGATATGTTTAACTCTAAGCTCGAATTCAGCACAATCCAAATATATCCTCTAAAAAAATAGACCCAACCTGACTTTAACCCAAAATCTCTTTTAAAACCCGACCCAATCGAATCGAATCGAATCGAATCAGATTAAAACTTATCGGATTTGGATCTCTTGCCCATCCCTAATATTTTTAAAGGAGCTATTGATAATAAAAAAACGTGAACTATGTTTTATTAGGCATTACGGTACAAATAATTTTTGTATGGGGCAAGTGGATTGTTAATTGAAAATGCAAGAAATAATAAAATTTTAACTTAAAAGAGGGTTCCTGGTGCGACACGTGGATTTTAGGTCTACATTAAGTATTAGGTACCTTATTACAGGGACGGGGGAGCAATACCCCGCCCGAACCCTGGCCCCGTCCTCGTCTCCGTTTAAAAAACACATATTCATTCCCGTTTAAAAAATTGCGGGGATTTAAACGGGGATCCCCATCGAGTAATCGGAGAAAACCGCGGGGAAACGGGTATCCCCGTTTAGCATAAACGATTATTTAAACGAGTATCGGGTCGGTATATATATATTTAAATTAAATATATAAATATTATATATATATATATATATTTAAATTAAATTAAATTTACTAATATTATATATATAATAATAATTTTTAATTTAACATAAACAGATTTTTCCCATCCGAGTTCGGGGTTTTTTTTGACATCCCTACTTATTACTACGTTAAAGTTTAAATTTAAATGTTTAAATAACTAACTAATCAATGAATTTTGAGTGGTCAAAAGTGACAAGTTTAAATATTGTTTATACCTGAGTTTAAAGAAAATTTTAAATGATTTAAGCATTATATGAAAAATAAAAAAAATGGAAAATATGTAAATGAAAACCCCTTTTCTTTAGTTATTATTAAATTATAAAAATATATAATAAAGTTCACAAATGATTCCCTTACTATATGGTATCACTTTATTAGGTCCCTCAAATATTAAAAATTTCAAAATGATCCTTTGATTATAGAGTGTTGATTTGTTGAGCCACTAGACTATTAAAAGTTATAAAATGGTCACCCAACAATTCATTATGCTCCAGATTCGTCATTTTATGTTAAAAAATTGATGGTATTCTGAGCTGAACGTTAACCTACTGGCTGTAATATGATAAAATTTGATTTCAGAATCTCAATCGACTATCATATCTCAGTCATCGTGTTAACATCCAGCTTAAGCAACCGCCAATTTTTAATGAAAAATAACGAGTTTAAAACATAATAAATAAACCTATAATGTTCGACTAAAATGGGGGTGAAAAATGAAGTTCCTTTGAATATACACACGACAAATGCCCACTAGCAGGAGATCTTTCACATGTCACGGTGCAAGATTTGTTGATTCCTTATTCGGGCATCTATCATTATACATCAATTAAAGTCAAAACTTTTACATAATTAATTATTATTTTGGAAAAAAAATATTAAAATAAAAATGGAGGATTTGTTTAATACTCAATGAAGCAGTTGCAGAGCTTTTACATTTATTCTGGACAAGGGAAGATCCTGATTTTTGAGCATCCATAATGGTGTAGTTTTTAATTAAAATTTATTTATAAATTAGATCTAAAGTAAAAATATGGGTTAATTACAATAGATATTCATAAAGTGTGTTCAGATTCGGATTTGGTCCTCCAAATCAAGTCCTCCCGTTGTTTTCTTGTTCGTTTAGGCCAATAAACACCCATTTGAATTCGGCAATAAGCACATATAAAAACACAGATGAATAGGCCTATAAACGAACCGAACGAACACACACGAGATTATGTTCATGTTCGTTCATTTATCTTTAACCGAACAAACGAACAAACACAAACAACTAAACAAACAAACACAAAAACTAAACGAACAAACACAAACAACTAAACGAACGAAATTTCTTGTTTGTGTTCGTTCATTAAGAAATTTAGTTTGTTCGCGTTCGTTCATGTTTGTTCGTTTAAATGATAAATGAACACAAACTATCGAACATAAACAAATGTAAACGAACATAAACGAAAGAACATAAAATTAATTGAGTTTATATTTGAGAAGATTTTTTATTTTCAAATAATTTTATTTTCTTTTATTGATTTGAGTACTTTTTATTTGGGTTTAAAAGTAATTGAGTTTAATAATACTAATGGGTTTATGGTTAAAATTATTAAATCTTTATATTTCAAACGGATCTGGAGAACATGAACGAACATAAACGAATAAATTATTGAACGTTCACGAACATAAATGAACGAACAAGCTTTTTGTTTGTGCTCGTTCATTTGATTAAACAAACATAAAATCTTTTTCATGTTCATTCGTTTAATAAATAAATGAACATATATCAACTTCCCGTAAAATGATTCGTTGAACGTTCAATTCATTTACAGGCCTACAGATTAAGTCGTAAACCTGATTTGTGTATTTCTATTATATGAACAAATTAGATGCGACTATTAAAAAATAGGGTAAA